ACTTTTCACTTTTGTTTTCCCAGCAGGCAGCGCAGAGAGGATAGGGGAGGGGGGCTGGGTCTTTGCCCTCCTTCCCCCGCCCCGGGTGGGCAGGGAGTCTCTGCGGCCTCCTTCTGGCCAATCCACACCTGCTCGGACAGCAGGACGCAGTTATTGGCTCCAAATCCGTGCCCACTAACCGTGCAGTCATTTGTCACCCAAGGATGCGCTCAACGCACTCTGTGCCTGGGGTCCTCAACCGCGGGGCTAAGCACCGTAAATCACAGAGAACGGACAAGCTAGGTAAAGATGGGAATAATCCGTAAATCCGTAAAGTAAAATAGTAATCTTGCTGCTGCTGAGGTTCATTCTTCTTTAAAGGTGGCTTCTGGTTCACAATCCTTGTGCCCCGTGGGCTGGAATGAGTCAAAGGACCCCCGGCGTGGTGATCAAGAGACACCTGCCAGGAAAGTGTTCGGAAATGACTTTCTCTCAAAAGGAGAAAGGCTTTTATTGGGCTATTTTCCAAGTAAACAGGGCACGTCTGGCCTGCGGCACGTATATATCCGATCTGATAGCAATCGTTCTTCAGAGTTACGTACCCGCTGGCGTCGGGGTTCTCGCGCTCCGAGGGCAGGATATTAAGACTGTCGCTGTCGCTGGCTTCCTCCGAATGACTTCTACAAAACCTGGCGGCCCTTCTCGGCTTCGGCCTTCCACTCATTTCCCCCCACAAGGTAGCAAAGAGCTGGGAGAAGGAAGAAGAGCATCCGTGGGCTCTTTGCTATTTTAGGGAAAGCATGACGCCCTACAGAGAGGATCTGGGGTTGCTTTCTTGCCTTACTTCCCTCCCGGGTGTTTCTCCTTCCAGGGGAAACTGTGAGCGAGCGAATCTGGAACCGCTGCGGACCCCTCTGTTGCATCACCTTCTGTGATGCATCACAATGGAAACCCCACCCCGTGTCAGGTGGGGCACCTGCAGCCGCCTCTGGGCCCGCACCTCGTCCTGAACGCGCGTGTTCACGCTTTGCTGTAACGCCTTCTGAACGGCCCGCGGGTCCTGCCAAGGTCCCCCTGTAACCAGCTCTCTGCTGTCACAAACCAGGGGTTTGCTGCGTCCCCTTCACAAGTGAAATACCACGGAGACCATGGGAAGCCCCAAGATACCGCTCCCCAGTGTCACTCCTGTCCCTTCCTTCCCACAGGGAACTATGATCTGGAAACTGATATATGGAATTCCCACGTATTTTTAAATATTTTAGCATCGGTATATGTGTCCATACAGAACACAATATTGGGTGTGTGTTTTCTTTTTTTTTTTTTCAAAGATTTTATTTATTTATTTGACAGAGAGAGAGAGAGAGCGAGAGCAGGAACACAAGCAGGGGGAGTGGGAGAGGGAGAAGCAGGCTTCCCGCGGAGCAGGGAGCCCAATGAGGGGCTCGAACCCAGGACCCTGGGACCATGACCTGAGCCGAAGGCAGACGCTTAACGACTGAGCCACCCAGGCACCCCTCCCCTCTTTTTATCTATGCTGGTTTCAGGGTGAATTCATAAGTGCTACTTTACAGTTTGCGGATCTGCTCTTTGACCCTGTGAGGTCCAGATCTATCCCAAGAAATCCCAGCACGTGTCCTTTACTGCCTCATCGTCCCAGACTCAACGGGGACAGCATGGAGCAGAGGAAGGCACTGCCTCAGGGCCACACTCTGACCCCCGCTGCAGGCTGTTCTCCCTCCCACTTTCTCGTTTCCTTTCAAGGCTGCGGAATGCGCATACAATGACATATTTATGTAAAATGTGGTTATGAACAAGTACATATCTGTGTCTGTGTGTTTCTACAAATATACTCATCTCTTCACATTGTGGACTCGGTGGCTCACCGTACACCATGTTCTGCAACTTGCTTTTTTCCCTTAAAACATCTATCTTGGAAGTCCTCCCGACTCACTTGGGGGTGACCTTCTCCGGTCTTTCATGGCTGCATGCTGTTTTCCAAGGGCCAAAATCTGTCCAACCTGCCCCATACTGATGAGCTGTTTTTAAATTTTTTATTATTTTTAAAAAGATTTTATTTATTTATTTGTCATATAGAGAGAGAGAGCACAAGTAGGGTGAGCAGCAGGGGGAGAGGGAGAAGCAGGCTCCCCAATGAGCAGGGAGCCCAATGCAGGACTCGATCCCAGGACCCCGAGATCATGACCTGAGCCAAAGGCAGATGCTTAACCAACTGAGCCACCCAGGCACCCCAATGAGCATTTTTTTTTATTTTTATTTTTTTAAAGATTTTATTTATTTATTTGAGACAGAGAGAATGAGAGAGACAGAGAGCACATGAGAGGGGGGAGGGGCAGAGGGAGAAGCAGGCTCCCTGCCAAGCAGGGAGCCCGATGCGGGACTCCATCCCAGGACTCCAGGATCATGACCTGAGCCGAAGGCAGTCGCTTAACCAACTGAGCCACCCAGGCGCCCAATGAGCATTTTTTTAAAAAGATTTTATTTATTTATTTATTTATTTATTTATTTATACAGAGTGATTGGGGGAGGAGCAGAGGGAGAGAGAATCTCAAGCAGACTCCACACTAAGAGCAGAGCTGGATGCTGGGCTTGATCTCACAACCCTGAGATCATGACTTGAGCTGAAATCAAGAGTTGGATACTTAACTGACTGAGCCACCCCAACACCCCTGATGAGCATTTTGACATAGAAAACAACATGCAATAAACAACTGTGAGCTTACGTTATTCTGCAGCTGCCAATAAAATAGATTTTTAAGAAGATATACCCTTTCTTCTCCTGGCTAAGACCCTTGTTCTCCTGGGATCTGCTTTTTTGGTCTACCAGGTTTTGTTTTGTTTCTTCCTTCTTTTGTTTGAAAATTTCTTTTTTTTAAAAGTCAATTATCAGTCCTTCATTTATTTCTCTAAGGGTTGTGTACTTATTTTTATTTTTTAATCCTCTTTTTAAATATTTTATTTATTTCAGAGAGAGAGAGCAGGAGCATATTTGGGGTGGCATGGCAGAGGGACAAGCAGACTCCCTGCTGAGCACGGAGCCTGATGTGGGGCTCGATCTCAGGACCCTGAGATCATGACCTGAACTGAAACCAAGAGTCGGACACTTAACCAACTACACCACCCAGGCACCCTTCATTTTAGATTATTATTATTAAATTAAAAAAAAAAAAACCACTCAGTTTAGAAATCCCTCCTGTTGGTGAGGCTCTGGTGTAAAGAGTATGCCCCCTGATGGAGAGGGGGCAGATGGAGTCCTGGGGGAGCATGTCTAGGGAAGGGAATTGTCCAGACCTTTTAGCTGCTCCCCGTTGGATATGTAACAAGGATGGGCAAAAGGAAATGAACATGTGTCCTGGGAGTTGAAATAAATCAGCTCAGTCAATAACAGGGGTAAACCAAGAGACACTAGACAGGCGGGAGAGGTTCAAGGGCTTTGAGAAATCAGAATTTGTACTCACATGCATTTTTTTCCTTTTCTCAAAATACTCCTGAGCAGGAGCTATCTATATAAGATATATCTATAAAAAGATGTCTATATACATGATACATAATATATAAACTCATATATGATATAATAAGATATATGTAATAAATAAGGATATCTGTATATAGATAGGCATATAAGATACATGTAGGAAGGGAGCCTGGGTGGCTCAGTCGGTTAAGCTCTGCCTTCAGCTCAGGTCACGATCTCAGGGTCCTGGGATCGAGCCCCACGTCGGGCTCCCTACTCACTGGGGACATTTGGATCCTTCTAAACACTCGGAACTGTTTTGGCACAGAAAGCCCACCGTGATAGAGGGTAGGAAATGAGATCTGCTCGTTCTCAGCTGATTACCCTGCCTCACCTTTTCATCTGCACTGCACCCTACCTAGATTCTTACCTGATCTGACCTCTGCAAACACTGCTTTCAAGCACACTCCGGAAGCAAGAGCTACGGTCTCTCCACCCGGTCCCAGCCCCGGTACCTGTGCAGATCCCCAAGCCAGCCAGGCCGGAAGTCCGCACTGAAGTCAGGTGCTTGGCAGAAATCTGAATGCACTTCCCCAGGAACATGGCCAGACTGTCTCTCCATTTACAAACACAGAAATACTCCTGAAAACATAGGGTATGAGGAAGGACGTTTACATGACCATTTCACTATTGATACACAGTTGGCAGAAATGGCTCTTGGCTGTTTTTTTTTTTTTTTAATTATGTTATGTTAGTCACCATACATTACATCATTAGTTTTTGATGCAGTGTTCCATGATTCATTGTTTGTGTATAACACCCAGTGCTCCATGCAGTACGTGCCGTCTTTAATACCCATCACCAGGCCAACCCATCCCCCCACCCCCCTCCCCTCTAGAACCCTCAGCTTGTTTCTCAGAGTCCATCGTCTCTCATGGTTCGTCTCCCCCTCCGATTTCCGCCCCCCTTCATTTTTCCCTTCCTTCTCCTAGGCTCTTGGCTGTTTTACTTGCTGTTTTTTAGTTTTAAAGTCGATTTAATTTTAAAGTCTTTTTTTTTTTCCGCAATCTAGACACCCAATGTGGGGCTCAAACTTGCCACCCCACATCAAGAAGAGTCTCGTGCTCTTCCAACTCAGTCAGGTGCCCCTATTCGTCCTCTTTTTTAAAAAAAAAAAAAATGCATGAAACAAACGGGAGATTGACAAGCAAATCTGTCTAGTTTGTTTTCCCTTGTGGAAACTTCCCGGGTGGAGCTCCTCGGGGACCAGGAGGCCGACCCCGCCCCGCCAG